GCTGAATTTGGAGAAGTCTGGACATATGGGCTAGGTTTGGGAGAGCCTACTGGGCAGTCGTTTTGAGGAGAAATGGCTACACACTTGGTGATGTTCTTACCACATATAATTTTTAGATTATATTTTTTCATAAAATTTTCTACATAATAAAAGTATGGTTTCCATCACGTTTATTAAAAGAAAGCTATACTATGACAATGAAAACTAAGCCCTATAATAAAGCATTGAACAAATATTCTGTCCAACAAAAGTTTTTCTAAAAAATATACTACCCCCTCTATAAAATAACAATCATATATATATATTAATAAAGTTCACACGTATGTCAAATAAAGCGTCTATGCTACTTCTATCTTTTTACTTGTAAAATTACCCCGTTTGTAGATATTTTCCCCACTTGAGATACATCTCATAGTGCTAAAAAATGATCATGCAAGTCAAATATTTACTTTCTCTATTTCTAGTTTTTGATAGATATAAATATCTAATATTTTTATTTCTTCAGATATATTATTTTATTCTCTAAAATTTTATTTATGTATATCAAATAAAATTTTCACTAAAATTATGATTATTATTTAGTCACACAAAAAGCATTCCATATAATCCTTTTATTTTTCTTGAATTAATAAAGATCTACCATGAGAACAAAGTATCTTTAGTGAAAAGGTCTGCATTTTTAAACTAGTGCTAAAGACAAAGATAAACTTTTGCTAATATACTATTTCATCAGATAAAGAAATGTTCCATATAAGTGAGCAAATTATTATTCCATAAAACCTACTCGTATTTTTTTATATGTATGCATGGAAGGTCACTTCATGCAGATAGAGAGTATTCCTGACTCTATTTACACATTCCTTCTGCATGTTTGCAGGGCCTCCAGCTCACGCAGCCCACGCAGCCCATCAAAACTCCTCCAGCCCACGCAGCCCATATTGACTCCTCAGGTCATTCACTAGACGGACCAGAAAAGTACTGAGATGAGACCGCAGTAGCAATTGCAATCCACCGGAAATATCTCTGTCGCCGCCGCCGCCGGTGGCCGCCGCCGCCGGCCGCTGCCGCGCTCTGTGCCATGCTCCGACTCCGAGAGTGCGTCGTTTCCCGCCTCCTCTCTCCTTCCTCCACCTCTGCCATCTCCCCTCTGCTTCGCCTCCTCTCCGCAGCCGCAGCCCCAATTTCCCCCGGTGGATTCGCCGTGGAGGAGTACCTCGTCGACACCTGCGGCCTCACCCGTCCCCAAGCCCTCAAGGCCTCCACCTCAACTCCCCCGCCAAGCCCGACGCCGTCCTCGCCTTCCTCTCCGGCCTCGGCCTCTCCGGCGCCGACGCCGCCGCCGTCGTCGCCAAAGACCCGCGGCTGCTCTGCGCCAAAGTGGACAAAACCCTGGCCCCTAAGGTCATCGGGCTCACTGGCCTCGGCCTGTCGCGTCTTGACATCTCCCGCCTCCTCTCGCTCGCCCCCCACGGCTTCCGCACCAGAGCCATAGTCTCCAAGCTGCAATACTACCTGCCACTCATCGGCTCATTGGACAACTTGCTCCGGATGCTCAAGACAGACTCCGGCCTTCTCTCGACCGACCTTGACAAGGTGGTCAAGCCCAATGTGGTGTTCCTGCAGCAGTGCGGGCTAGGTGCTTGTGATATTGCCAAGCTCTGTATCCGTGTGCCCAGGATGCTGACCACCAACCCGGAGCGCGTCCGGGCAATGGTGGCGTGCGCTGAAAGATTAGGCATGCCGCGTGGCTCTGGGATGTTCAGGCAAACGCTACAGCCTGTCGCGTTTCTGAGCGAGGAGAAGATCGCCACCAAATTGGATTACCTGAAGAAGACGTTCAGATGGTCTGATGCCCAAGTGAGCATTGCTGCGCGTAAGTATCCGAGTCTGCTAAGGACGTCAAGTGGCGCGCTGCAGCAAAGATCTCAATTCCTCCTATGGGAGGTGGGGGTGGAACCGGCGTACATTGCTCATCGACCGATAATACTCGGTTATAGCATGGAGGGCTGACTCAGACCCCGGTACTCTGTTATCCAGTTTCTTAAGGCAAATGGATTGCTAGGTCAGTACCGGGACTACTATAGCATAGTCATGCTGAGCGAGAAGGTATTTGTGGAGAAGTTCATATGCCCTCACAAGGAAGCTGCACCACACCTCGCTGAAGACTATGCAACCGCTTGCAAAGGGGAAATGCCGTCTAATTTTGGAATAGCCTCAGAAAATTGGTAATGTGTGTGGCACAACAAAGTTTCCACTCTGCATAGTAAGCTGGTAACTCCTGTCTCGGTGTTCTATGCCTAACTGGATGTTGGCTATCTTTTATGGTGTTTCTGTTACATGCCAGTTTGGTCATTGCTAACTCTTGATGTAACTGATATTTTGAGAAGTACATGGGTATACTTGTGTTGCTGACTTCCGTTGAGGATCATGGAAATTGGATATGTGAGTGGTCAGTGGACCAACTTTTTACTAAAAATAACAGAAGAGTCCTTCGTTTTCCACTAAAATTATCAGTGTCATCTGCTTTCATGGCAATATTTATCTAGCATGTTCCGTTTCGATTTCATTGTATTTTCTGTTCCATCATATTTCAGTTAGTACTAAGGTTCTTTTTTTAGGGAACTCAGTTAGTACTAAGGTTCTTTTTTTAGGGAACTCAGTTAGTACTAAGTTTACGATTCGATGTCTATCATATACAACCATTTTCCCTGTTATAAACGACATGAAAGATCACAACCATATTGATCTGAAAATAACAGAAAAAATGAGAAATAGTATGTATTCAGTGAAAACAAAAATATTAATTCATGAGTTAGTAAAAGTTATACCTGGGTGATGAAGTGCCCACCAGTGTGGTGATTCTAACTTGCTTTCTCAGCCGTCGGATGCAGGATTCCTCTGTTCTGTTGTGTCTGCACTCTGCAGTGGTCATCAGATCTGGGCTGCTGTTGCTATTTTTTTTCCTGCTACGTGACTTAAACTGAGGTAAGTTAACTTGCTTTTCGTGAACTTCGTGCTCTAAATAGAGAAGAACTTAAGGGACAAATAGGATTAATGTATGAAGATTAATAGGATTAATGCTTGTGTTGATGTGTGTTTTATATTTGTATGGAGATGAATGAATTGGTATTAGGTTCAAATTATCAAATATGATCGATGGATACTCTAACTATCTCAGAAATATTGAGTTTACTTGATCAAAATTGGAGGTTAAGATAGCTTGATTTTTTTCACTGGGATTAGAATTATGTTTTATTCAGAAATTCCTGCTAACTCTCTCTCAAACAAAAGAAAAATAAATCTAATTATTCTGATATAAATTTTCTGCTGCACTTGTGCACAGAAGTTATTCACCTGGTCTGTTAATGAGGAGTATCTCCATTCCATTTAACCGTCACAACCACAAATGCCAAATTTTCAACTCCTTTCAAGAAGAAAAGGAAGCTAAGCAAATCAGGAATATTTGTGCATCGAAGATCACTTGGTTAAATAGAACCATGGTCCGCCTACCTTGAAATTGATGTGCTAGGAGCCTAGGAGGATACCGTTAGATGTTTGGTTTTGGTGAGCCACCAATAAAAGCTTGCTGATGGGATGCAAAGACTAAGGCAACGAACTGTTAACTGTATACGTGAGGTAGAAGGCTATGCCTACTGTACTGCCTGCTAAAATATAATGCCTATTCCGTCAAAAAGAAAAATGTAATGCCTAAGATGCACTGTCCTGAACCATCTTAGAACAATGACTGATGTTGATATTTTTAGTTCCAAACTTCTAAATGATAGCTATACTGTTCTGAATTTTTAGGATATCAGCAGTTGTTTGTATCTTTGAGTGTCTAATTCCAAGTTGAAATCGAGATTGTTAACTGCTGATAAGCTGAAGGTAGTACTAATCGCCATCTTTATCTCCGTTTGACAAACAGAGATGAACTCCTTTCAAATTCGGGTTATTTGAGTTGGGAGCTGTGTTCCAGTTATGTCTGATTATCTCCTGAAACCCGGATTTCAGTTTCTGATTCCCCGTGTTCCACTGGCGGTGACCATCAGGCCTTTGCGCATGATCAGTGGTGTTCTGTTCTGATAGGGGAGTAGTAGTAGGAATCGTGTCAACGGAGCTTTTGGCTGGAAATCTGTTTGGTGCTCTGGCATTACGACCTAGAGGTGCTCCACTTGTAACGATCCTGAATTTGACTGAAATTATTGGTATTTGGATGCTGTGTGCTCCATGCATTGGTGTTCTGATCTCTATCTATGATTTCCCATTGTGGAAGAAGCTGCAGTATGTAGATTTCAGAACGTGCAACCAGAAATGCAATGTGTTTGTATACTGTATGTTTAATGTTCGATGATAGATGCGATGTTGTGCTGAGACGTATCCAGTAATAGCATATGCTTCAGCTTAGACTCTTCAGAGACAGAGACAGAGCCAGAGCCATATGTGAGTGGTCAGTGGACCAACTTTTGACTAATTCTGTTGTTAAATCACTTTCTTATCTTAAAGTAGATCAGTGATTGCTGGAGTTTGACAGAAAAGTTATTTTGTTGTTTTCCTTGGATCAAGATATGGCAAAGCCCTTCATGGGAAACGTGCAACAAATGTGGTGCCTTTTGTAAGCTAAGGTGGGATATTGAAGTAATTGTGCTTCATGTATTCCTTTATATTTTATTTATATGATGTTGATCTCTAACCGTGATGGCTCCTCTGTAGTGTTCGGTTTTCTTGTAGAAAAATTCGTTGTGCTAACAAAATAGTAGACATGTGTGTGAGATTCCATCATCGGTAGCATCCCATCAGCGGTTTAGCTTTATTTGCGCATATATGTTCGCAAGCTGCAACAAGCAATCGAGCATCATGCCCCGCAAATTGTTTCTATGCAATGCTAATTCTCTTTTTGTTGCTCATTTTGGGAGTACTCGTCTGATGACATTTTTGTGCATCAACTTTTGAGTTTCTGTTGTGAGAACTAGAGTTTTATTTGTGGATATTGTAGACATTATCAGGGGCGGTTGTTTCCGGCAACTGGAGGTGGCAGTGGAGACGTGGGTGAACCTTTCGTCCACTCGCTACGTGGTCCATCAGATGTAATTAATGGTTAAACATCTTTCCTAAATGCTAAAAAGTGCACGGCTGCTCGTTTGCCGTCGCGAGCACTCGCGTGGACAGCCGTCCGATGCGAGGCGTAGGCGCGCGATCACGACCAGGTGTTTTGTTGTCGGGACCGTTCGTTGTTTGCCCACGACACGATATCGCCTGGGTGGGGCCGCCACTTCTCGCCTGTTCGGCGGACATCTCGAAACTGCCCTGGAGAGCACCGCTGTCTCTCCCAATCCTCTCTCGCCCTCCTCGCTCTCTCCCTAATCCCCTCCACATCCTCTCCTCCTCGCTCGCCGCATCTGCACTCTACCGAAGAAAGCGGAGGTCGTGGTGCGGGCCTCGTGTGCGCGCGACGGAGGAGGGCGGGTGCTTCGGTGGTGCGCGCACGCTCGGTTGAGGAGGGCCTGGCTTTCGGTTGTCTGCGCGTGCGCGACTAAAGGAGCGCCAGGCTGCGGTGTACGCGCGACTGAAGGAGTGCTGGGCTGGTGGTCCGCGCGTCAGAGGAGCGCGAGGCTGCGGTGGTGCGTGTGGCGTGTCTGCGGAAGGCGGAGCTTGGTGCGGAACGCAGGTCGCCGGTGACGCTGCGGTGGACTTGTTGCTGAAATCGTGAGGTAAGGTCCAACTGCACCCTCTGTCTCCATTTCCTTTCAGATCCACGGGTGAGGTTGGTGGTTAGGGATTCAACATCCAGTGTATGGTTTTGTTTTGCCAGATCCGTAGTTCTTCGAGGTTGGGAATATCCTCACAATATTGTACGAGTTGGCAGAATCATAC